TAACCTTTTGCTACTTAAAGATTTTAGCTTGTGTTTTGCTGCTTTTATCTAGCTTTTTGCTCATTTGAGGTTTTAGCTACCTTTGTACATCTTTTAGCTTGGGCTTTAGCTATTCTTTTGCTACTTTTCCCTCTAACATATCAGTTTCAGCTTCTTGATGAAATGTCTGATCGTTCAGCTTTCAGAACTCTGTTTTCACAGAAAACTAGTTTCTCTGGTTCCTCTCTGTATCATGGACATTTCAGGAACTTGCTGTTCCCATCATGCATTGCAGGAGATATCTGGCTCCTCTTCAAGCCCACCTCAGTCTCTGACATCCTGACGCTGCAGACGTGACAGCCGGACCTTAAGGAGCCAGGATTCGACAACACCCCCGTGCTGACAGTGACCCCCGGGGTGGCCTTTGTTGGAGCAGATCCACCAGGATTTGTTTGACGGCGTCCGTCAAACGGTTCAAAAAGCTTCTCAAAAGGGAAATACCCAAGTTCTACCGTCATTGCACTTCCCCTTTGTTCGACTGAACCGCCGATGGTGATGACACCGATACAAGCAGAGTGACTTCTATAACACGAGGGTCCAAATCCTCCAGAGTCTACTTACAAGACACGACAAAAGGGTTGTAACACGACGTCTAAAACATTTAAACAAACAAAAAAAGCAGCTTTTCGAAATGATTTGTCCCATTTGAACATCGTTACCAACAGAATCTGAGGCAGGCAGCAGATGACACGATGTGTGCTGATATGATATTAGGAGTTACTGTGAGATATTCATGACGGCTGCCGTGTTGTTCTTGCTCCACGTTATGTGCGTTTGTCTGAATGTTTGTGACTCTGGTGACGAGGCACCAAACACAAAGACAACATTACTGAGCTGCCTGGAGGGCGGCGAGAAATCTATTCCTCTGCTCTGCAACAGGAAGACAACAACAAAAAAAGAAGTCCAATGTATTTTTAAAGCACATTTAAAAACAGCAGCTGTTACCGAAGTGCTTAACAATAAAACCAATGGCAGAAATGAAAGAAAAATAATATTAAAATGCATCAAAAGAAAAACACAAACCAATAAAATACTAAATCAAATCACGTCGTGTTTAAAGTCAGTGAAAACAGGAAGTGAAGTGTTCGGTCTAACGTTGGGGGCAGGTTGTTCCAGAGTTTAGGGCCACGACTGAAACGGCCCGATCTCCTCTGAGCTTCAACCAAAAGCAGCCGGTCAGATGATCTCAGCGCCCGAGAAGGAGCGCAAGGTTGAAGAAGAGGGTGCAAGGCCATTCATGCACCTAAAGGTCAACAGGATGATTTTAAAATCTATTCTGATACGTACAGGGAGCCAGTGAAGGGAGGACAAAACTGGTGTAAATGATCAAACCTACGAGTTCCTGTTAAGAGCCGAGCTGCAGCGTTTTGGACGAGCTGGAGACGTGACCGACCCCAACATGAAGCACATGACAGCAGTCCAGTCAATTTTCAATTCAGTTTATTTATTTAGCTCCAGCTCCCAACAGAAGTCGTCTCAGATCACTGAACAGAAATAGTCATATATAAAATAAGTTAACAGAAACATTCATATTTTAAAATAATAATTTAACGTGATTTATCTGAGGATAAAGGTTGTAATGAAGGCATGGACTATTTTTTTTTTCAAGGTAAGCTCTGGTCAACACAAATCTATCTGCCTTAACTGGAAGAAGCTGTTTTGTAGAACAGAGTTAATTTGTTTATTGGATTTAAAGTCAGAGTTTAGCACCGGCCTGAGGTTCGTAACAGACTGTTTAAGATACGGCTGACGAGAGTCAAGGTTTACAGGATCAGAGACAACGGAGCGAGGGCTAAATGGCCTGCACTCGTGTAGCTCCTTTCTATCTTATCAAGACACTCGAAGCTCTTCACAACAATCGGACTCTCATTTACCCGTTCATACAGCTCTCTGCTAGATTTATACAAATAATAATCAGTGTTTTATCACATGCATACACTGATGGGACACACTGGAGGCAATGAGGGGTTCAGTGACACTTTGGCATGCGCTGGTGGAATCGAACCCCCAACTCTTGCGTTGGAGGACGACTGCTCTAACCACTCAGCCACAGCCGCCCACAAGGACGTCAGTTTTCTGATCGTTGGAGCTTAAAAAGTTTGAAGCCTTAATGTCATCGAGACATTTCAACAGAGGGTGAATGGAACGTGAGCCGTTTGGTTTTAATGACAGATAAAATAAATCTGTCAATCATCCTCGTAACAATGAAACGAAAGGCCATGTTTCCTGAGGACGGAGCAGCAGATGCACAAGAGGAAAACGGCTCCAAGTGTTCTGAAGAAAAACCTGCTGTTCTGATGCAGTCAGACTCATGTTCACTGTCAGGGTACGTCAGTAACTCTGCGGTTCTCTTTAAGACTCGGCAGCACCGAGTTCAGGAGAAAAGAAGCGTCCAGCAGTTGTGTTGACGTGTTTAGAGGTGGAGAACATGGAGGAACATTCATGGCGGCTGCTGGTCCTTAACACTCTCATCTAATGGCATTACGTTCGCTCTCATTTGACCTATCGCCAGCGGTTTTGCGGTGGATGAGCGTGTTTAACATTCTAGGATGCTTGCTGCCACATTTTACTTTAAAATCAGCAGAAGATAAACGCACACTAACAAACATCAGCGCACGCCTGCAGGGGTTTCCTGAGGAAGGATTCCCTGATGGGTCACGTGGATTTTATTTCAGCTGACTCCCAGCTGTGACTGATGTGTTTGCTGATATACAGTATTCTACATTTGCACATCTAAATCTGCTCTTTTCTAAATGCAGCCTGCTTATCATTCTTAATGCAGGTTAAACTATTTTATTCCCATCGCTTTGTCTTTGTTGTCTTTTCCTCTCGTGTCCTAAAAAGAACAATAAATGAGGAAAGAATATTTAACTATAACTAAACCTTTCATGAAGCACTGTGCTGTTTATTGTGTGCAGCTAAGAAAAAGTGCTGCACAAGGTGGTGACATAGTTGTTTCTCGTTTTGCTGCAGATTAATTAGTCGTGAAGATCAAACAACTGACAGCAGAATGCATGAACACCTCACCGATCTGTGTCCCCCCCCTGAAACAACCAAGATGCTCCCAATCTGTTTGGTACATCTGACATCTGACCAGCCCGCCTTCAGACACATTATCAGGGGCGCAAAGGTAAGTCTCGTGGGAATATTCTCACCATCTGCTTAAAAAATCGCAGGCTCGTGTTTACTGGAATTTTTTTTTTTTTTTTTTGGCAAAGATAGGTGGCTTCATATTTAACCAGTGTCTGTTTCACAGTGAACTTGCATAATAAGAGATCAAATATGAGATGAGGGGCAGATTTAGATCAAACTTAGCTCCCACACTGTGGTGCCATACAATAAGAATATTTGATAAAGCAGGAAACAGTCTGATAATGATACTGGAGCCAGAATAGCTGCTGCGTTATTTAAAGATAAACATCTAAGAAAAATATGACCAGTAGTACAAGTTAAAACACATGTAAAAAATGTGTTGTTTTTCTGTAATCTGTAATGTTTTTAAGTCAAAATGAATATGGGCCTTCTTCTGCTCCGCTCCTATTTCCTGAAATATCTTGTACAAAGATCTGAAGCGCTCGACCTTGACCTCTCTAAGTGGCTTCAAACATCTAAGTTCCTGGCAAAAACCAATGCAGACATGTTCCTGTTTTTAGTATTCTACATCACCTTAGCTGGGTTTTTTTGTTTGTTTGTTTTGTTTTTTGTTAAAATTTTTAACACCATTTTCTTTCACCTGTTCGTCTCAATTTGTATGCTTTCTTTATTCTTTATTCAGAATATATTTCAATCTTTAAACACAAATATATGTACATTTTATATTTAATTTACGTGTGTTCTCAAACTTTCTTTCAGTTGTCCCTATTTTGTGCCTATTTTATAAAGTATTCTCCATTCTATCCCTTTCCTGCTTTAAAAATAGAATTCCCTGCTAAAACATACAGCGGCTTGTTCTATTCTATTCTATTCTATTCTATTACTTCTGACCAGCTGTTTAACTGGTCAGATCTCAAAGTATGGGTGTGTCGCCCTCTTGTGGTCAAAATGAAATTAGCATATTAGATCTTTATAAATACGCTGTTGACGGCTGAAAAAAAAAAGTTTAAATTATATTACCAGTAAAATGTGTTAAATTGTGATTTTTGTAACATTTATATATGAAAAGTAATTTTGTTATTTAATAGTAGGATGTTTTTCTTCTCCGTTTTTGGATAGACACCGGGTAGGAACCATGTAACTGTTGCTTGTTTCCTGAGCAGGCAACGGACGGACTCGTTGAAAGAGCTAATCAAAATGGCGAGTCAAGAGGAGTCAGTGAGGGAGTTCGTGGCTGTTACCGGCGTTGAGGAGGAGCGGGCCCGGTTCTTCCTGGAATCCGCCGGTTGGAACCTCCAGGTTCGGCTCCTGTGTGTTTTTTACCAACGTTGAAGCCGTCCGGACGGTTGTCGGTCCAAAGGAAACTGCGGTTAAACACGGCCAGAGCCGGACGAGTAGCTCGCCGGCTAATGTTCGCCTGCTGTGTTTCCAGCAATTTGTGCAAGTCATTCTTTGAAAACGGCCTGAACGCTTTCAGACACCAACAGAGAGGATGTCAAACGTTCATCGAGCTGACACAGTCCGGATTATGAACACTGTTCGCCTCCTTGCGTGCGGGTATTTCTTTAAAAGCGGAGTTTGCTCCCATTTATCGTGACTCCACACACCAGTTAGCCCCGGTAGCTAACTAGCGTTAGCGCCTCAACGCTACATTGTAGTTAATTGACGCAGTAAGATAAAGCTGCCAACGTTATTCTTCTGGTTCAAGTATAACGTTGTTAAACGCGTTAAAGAGGCGCAGTGAATTTATGGAGACAACAGTTGGGAGGTTGACATTATGCTGAAAATGAAAGAGAAGAATCGAGTTAGTTGGTGTTTTGTTTTAGCAGCTGCACAACACAATGATTTTTTTTTTTTTGGGGGGGGGATGGCAGAGCAGGTTAGAGCAGTCGTCCTCCAATAAAAGAGTTGGAGGTTCGATTCCGCCAGCAGTCACATGCCGAAGTGTCCTTGGGCAAGACACTGAACCCCCTCATTGCCTCCGATGTGTGTCCCATCAATGCATGAATGTGATGAAGCTCTGATTATTCTTCGTGCAGATCTAGTATAGAGCTGTATGAATGGATAAATGAAGCACAGTGTCTTGATAAGATGGAAAGGTGCTACATAAGCACAGTCCATTTATCATATGGAGTTTATTCAACGTGCTTAATTTATTTTAAGCAGTGTCCTCTATAATAAGCCTGTTTTTTTCAGAGCCCCTAAATAACCACGTCAAAGACTGTTGAACTAAACCAGCTGTAACTAGTTAAACCATGTGGTAGTAGGAATCTGATTTTCTGCAGATCGTTTCAGGCGACTCGACCCAAACTTTAAGACCCACTGCTCTGTGTATCCATGTATATACTTTATACCGTTTATTCATATAAATTAGAGAAGTGTATAAAAAGTGGTAAAATTACTGTTTGCGTCCAACTTTATTTTTTATTACAAGTTGATTTAAGGTTTTTAAGAAACCAGTTCTGAATTTGCTGTTTGAAATAAGCACATTACTTTACCAACTCGTTCATCATCGTTTCTGCTTTCCTTTTGTAACCAATGCTGCTTTTATACTGTAGGAACTTGATTATCTGATATTTTACACTTGTTCGTATTTTATTCTGCATGATTTGTTACACGCGCACTTTCCCCAATTCTTTTTCCAGTGCTGCTTAAAAACACCTTAGAGCAACTGAATCCAAATTATATTTCCTGTACCCATCAACAGTATTTAAGTTTTTGTCAACGTTTTAATATCAGTGTTTCCTCCTCAGCTTGCACTTGCCAGTTTCTTTGAGGATGGAGCTGACGATGACATAATTACTCTTCCTCAGCCTGAGGGAGGCTCTTCAGTGTCTCGATCGGCAGGTCCCAGGTAGGATTTCCAAATAATGCTAATAAATATGTAATGCCGCACTGAGACGTTTAAAGTCCAACAGCAACATTTGTCCTGAGCGAATGTAGACTGTTACTTTTTTAAATCACTTTTAGGATTTTGTAACGCAACATATTTTTTCTGTACAGTAGTCAACCCAGAGTGACCTCCTTCAGAGATCTGATGCATGAGGCAGAGGAAGAAAGCGATGAGGAGGAAGGTCAAAGGTAGGTTTACTTTCTACTGGCGATATTTATCAGCTGTCCTTCTAGTGGACCTCTCCAAGCGGTTCAATAGTAAAACCAAACTCTTATGACAATAGAAGAGAATGCTTTACCCATGGACATTTCAGAGAGTTCGAGGTGTTACAATAGACACGCAAGAAAACAGACACTTCCCACCATTTACTGTTTAATTTTAGTAGCTCTGTTCTGTCTTGAATTGTTGAGGCATGTATTCATGCTCTCTGTCTGAGCGGCTGAATGCGGAACAGTCACTCTTATGGGAGTTGGGTCCAGATTGCACCAAACTATTTTTGGTCTCGCCTCATTCACTGAGAGCCGACTGCTTTTTGCGCTGCATCGGCAGATTCTTCTCCGGGTGCAGTGCGGTGGGCTGTTTACATCCTTTCACTGCATTTTTATTACATGCCACTTGTGAATTAGCCTAGTAGGAGTAACTGTTGGTTTTTAACTCTTTGCTTTATTTTAGTAATCTGGTTTCTCAGCACAGTTTTGTCCAAAGCATTGTCGGCTTCTCACGGGTATTAAAGGTTACACTTCTTTTTTTTTTTAACTCCGGCCTGTTAGTTTTTATTTTCCTGCATCTTCTCTGAGCATTCACCATCATTTTAAATGCTACCGTTGATGCAGCTCATAAAAAAAGTGAAACTCTTTTTAAATGTTATTTCTCTTTAGATGTCTGTTTTAACCACTGCTTGTTTTTCTCTTATTGTTTGTTTCATAAAAAAAGTGTTTTTATTCAGCAACAAACAGTTCGGGGCAGTATGTCAAACATTGAATTTAGTTTTCTAAAATTTGTTAATAACCTTTACACGTTTTTGTAGAAATATTTTAGGACGCAGTCTAAGCAGGTTTTGGTGCCGTCTCTGTTCTTGTCAGGTTTTTTGCGGGCGGATCAGAGCGCAGCGGGCAGCAGATCGTGGGACCTCCAAAGAAGAAGAGCTCCAATGAAGTGGTGGAGGATCTGTTCAAAGGGGCCAGAGAACACGGAGCTGTGCCTTTGGACCGGGCCGGCAAAGGACCAGGAGAATCCAGCAGAGCAAAGGTAAAACTAGAGGGATTGCATTTCCTGCTAAAATGCAGCGTGAATGCTAATTACAAAAGAACTTGCTGAAATTAGCTAAAAAATAAAAATAAAAACATGCTGAAATAAAAGAACAAGCCTAAATTAGCAGAAGAAAACAGAAATAACACATGTTTGCTGAATTAGATTAAAATAAGCAGGAATTAGCACAAAAATTAGGAAACCAGCTAAAGCTGAAATAAACTAAAAAATGTGGAATTAGCTGAAAAGCTAAAATTTGCATAAAAGCAGCTTAATAGTAGCTGAAGTAGCAGAAAAAGCTGAAACTTGCAAAAAAAAAGCTGAAAGGAGCATAACAAGCTGAAATTAGGTGAACAAAGTTAATTAGGCTGAAAGTAGCAGAAATTACCACAAAAAACTTGAACTGATCTGAAAACAGTGAATTTAGCTAAAAAGCTAAGTGAAAAGGTAGAACAAGCTTAAATTAGCAGAAGAAAGCAGAAAGAACACGTTTGTCCAGTTAGGCTGAAAGAAGCAGAAAGGAGCACAAAAATGCTGAAATTAGCAACGACAACAACAAAAACCCTGAAAAGTAGGTAAAAAAGTATAAAGAAGCTTAAATTACCAGAAGGATGTGGAGAGGGCACGTTTTTGCTGAATTAGGCTGAAAAATGTTTAAGTTAGTGCAAAAATGTGTACCGGTAATTGGTTGAAAAAGCTTAAATTAGCATAAAAACAGCTATATAGTAGCTGAAACTTGCAGAAACAAGTTAAAGAAGCAAAAAAATGTTGTTATTAGCAGAAATAATCTGAAAGGAGCACAAAACAGCTGAAATTAACTGATAAAAAGTTTACATTTGCATAAGGAAGCTGAAAGAAGCTAAAGTAGAACAAAATGTGAAAGGAGCAGTAAAAGGTTGTAAACAGATCTAAAGATTTGAAGGATGGAAAATGAGCTCAATTCGTTTTCTGTCAGAAAAAAAAATGGCAGAAAAGGCTAAATATTTCAAAAAGCTAAAGATGCACCAGAACCAAAAGTCATAGCAGGATTGTCCTGAAAGAGCCGAACGTTTTGATGATTTGTTGAAAGAGCTGAAAACTGTGGAACGAGGAAGATGCTGAAAAACATACAGATGAAAAATGGATCAGCCGAGTGAATGTTTCATTTCACACAGTGGAGCAGATTTTCACTCAGAGGTTTTTAGCTTCGTGTCATTTTGTCTTATCGTCTCAAACTTTTCTCTAGAGTCTGATGCATGTTTAAGAAACGTATTTCTTTTTACTATTTGTATTACGGTAAGTCAACCCAATCGGTCATATTTATCCCTTTTTTGTTGTTTTGCATTTCAATTCTTTTGATCATTTCTCAGGCTTTTGTTGGCGGAGGTTACAGACTGGGAGCAGCTCCTGAAGAGGAGTCTGCTTACGTAGCTGGGGAGAGGCATGCCTCCAACAGTCAGCAAGATGTGAGTGAAGATCCTGCTTCCTGTTTTCTGTCTCCGTCTTTTTTGTTTTCTTTCCTGGATTTCTGGTTAGGCAGGAAATCCTGCAGCTCTAAAACAAGACGGGAAGTTCTAACTAGAAAAAATCACGTTCGTTTCTTTGAGTGGAATCACAAGTTTATGGACCTGAACAAGAAGTACCTTAATGTTATGCTGTCCAGATCTCACCTGAAGAGTGAATGAAACTTTGTCATTGGAAAATAATTTAATATAAAATATTGTGTGTGCTGCTACAAATGAAGACATTTATGTTAAAGATGCATTTTGCATGGAGGGAGGTGACAAACCATCTGCTACTGAAAACTCATTTTGAACCTTAAATTTTCAGCTTTCCTTCTCTTGCCAGCAGAATGCTGTGAGGTCTAAATGTTTTTTTTTTTTTTTTAAATCACTTAGTGGATGCTTAGTGTTTTTATTCCTCGTTTGATAACTAACAACTTCACTTGACATATTAAAATATAATACTTTTAATAACCGTATGCTCTGACTGATGTTTAGAGCTTCAGGAGGACTGGATATGAGTTGATGCTCTCTCTCCATCAGTAAAAACAGGCAGTGTTGCTCCAGGTGTGAAGTGGATACACCTGCTTCCTGTCTTTAAGGATGTTTCTGTGTCAGGTCCATGTGGTGCTGAAGCTGTGGAAGACGGGTTTCAGTCTGGATAACGGTGAACTTAGAAACTACAACGATCCTGAAAATGCAAACTTCCTTGAGGCAATAAGAAGAGGGTAAGACGAGCTGAACTCCTCCAGAGCTACAAAAGCTGTTTGTTGAAGGAGGCAGGCCGAATGTTCAGATGTGCACAGTGTTGTTACAAGCACTGACAGGTGTGACTCTGCTCCTCGTTTTAACCTGCAGAGAGATTCCTCTGGAGCTGAGGCAGCGGTCTCGAGGAGGCCAAGTCAACCTGGACATGGAGGACCACAGAGACGAGGACTTTGTCAAACCCAAGATGGCCTTCAAGGCCTTTGAAGGTGAAGGCCAGAAGTTAGGAAGGTGAGAGTGTGAGACTTCTCTCTGTTGGATTTAATGTGGCACATAAATGTTGTAAAACTGGTCTTACTGGTTCTCTGAACAATTTGTCTGGGTACTGACTGTGAGCAGGTTCAGTCGAAGTAAATTTCTAAGAAGTAGACATGAGACAGGATGTAGGCTGGAGACAGGATGTAGAGACAGGATGTAGACATGAGACAGGATGTAGACATGAGACAGGATGTAGACACGAGACAGGATGTAGATATGAGACAGG